GAGAGAAATTGGACTTGGGACTTAGTAGCCAAGGGTCTTAGTTACCAAGATCCAGATAGTGTATGCTGATACTCCTATGGTAAAAAAAAAGAATTCATGTCTAGATTTGACAACCCCGGTGATGGGAACTCAGTGATGGCACAGAGTTGGATGCTGTAGATCCAGAGCCAAAATTATCTCACAAATCTATGAGATCCAGGTCTCTCACAATTCTAGCTTCTCTCTACTGTCACTAATAATATTCACGACATGAAGAAAGCTCAACTTCATTAGAAAAAATTAAAGTTATATTATGTTGTTGTTTGATTTTTTTCTGTAATGTAACTGTTCACTTCATTCCCCAGGTTGGAATATGGCATAATGCCAAAATAATAAATCAAATTAAATTACTAGTCATAAATAAAAGTTATAATAAATTGGACATTGTGGAGGTTTGAATAAGAATGGCCCCATAGGCTCATACGGAGAATGGAACTATATGAAAGGATTACAAGAACTAGGAAGAGTGGCCTTGTTAGAGGAAGAGTTTTACTTGTGGTGGGCTTTGAGGTTTAAAAAGCCCATGTGTGAAAGTTTGAATGTAATTGGTCCCCATAAACTCATAGCGATTGGCATTATTGGGAGGTGTGGCAACTGTCTGCATTTCTAAGATCTGATATCCTCACACAGACATACATATAGCCAAAATAACAACACATATAAAATAAAAATAAATTTATTTATATGTAAAGGAAATGAATATCTGATCACTTCAGACAGAGATGGCACCGAGTCTATTCAAGTCCCTTTTGGTGAATCGATGGGTTACAGAAGCCTGGGTGACTCAAAGGCTGCGGCACCACTGAGGGGACCCCCAGTCTTCTGGGTGACTCATGAAGAGCTGCACAGCTGGGGAGTCCCACCCAGTCAATGCTCACATCATATAATTTCAGGAAGGGAGGAGCCTTGTGGGCCTCCACCCCTCCACAAGGGAGTGTCACTAGCCTGATCTCATCCTAATCCTTAAGTGATCCTGCTCCCATTAAATTTAGCATGACTGTGTGCAGCCAGAGGTTAAATGATGCTCCTGAAGGGAAGGGCCCCTCTCCCAGAGTGGCCCCTTACTGATCACGGTGGAACACAGGCGATGCCACCCCGTGGGTGAAATGCCTCCTTTTCTCTCTGGCCTGGTTCTCATAGCATTTTGCTTCTTTCTCTCCTGCAAGCTTCTCCTATCCCCTGTTTCTAGTCCCTCCTCCCCCAGATCCACTGCTCCTCAGTTTCCATTCAAAAAAAGCACTTAGCCTGCTTTCTTAGAGAATCCAGGCCCCTAGCCCAGGAACGATGCCACCCACGTGGAATGGGCCCCCCCATCAATCACTAATTAAGAGAAGGCCTTACAGCTGGATCTTATAGAGGCATTTTCTCAGTTGAGGTTCCCTCCTTTCAGATAGCTCTAATTTGTTTGTTAAGTTGACATAAGACTATCCAGAACACATATCACAAATTGCTTCTCATTTCTGCATTCATCTTTTATTAATAAATGGCGAATTTATTATTCAGCTAATGATTTGGATATCCTTTGCATTGACCCTATTAGCAATTCCTTGTGGTTTGATTCTCATACTGTCCCTGGTTGTAATGTTTTGATGTATGATGTTTTTCCCTTATGATGATGCAAAGGTGATAATTGTCTGTGGAAAATGTACTTTGAAACTGTATCTTTGCCTACAATAGCAATGTGAGTTACTATGCTGTCTTGCAATGCTGGGCAGAGGCAGGGAAAGCTGCCAGCTGGCACTCAGCCTCACCATCCGGAGGAGAAAAAAACAAACTAACAATGTTCTATTAAGGGTGTGTGACTATGCTCCAATATTCAATCGGTCCAGCATATCCAATGTATTTCCAGCCTAACAGTATGTCAGCGTGAGATGGATTTGGGGCATAGCTTCATCTTAAGGTGAGGAACACGTTTATGTAGAATATACCTTTTCTGCTGCTACTCTAGCCCAAGCAAGTGCCATCTTACTTTCTGGCTACAGCAGCGGCCTCCTCACAAACTTAGTTGCTTCTGATTTTTTTCCTTCTGCAGAATAAGTAACATATTGCTTTTCAACTCAGCTTCATTTGAAACAGATTGAGGTATAGTTTAGCATTCAAATTTTTTTAACTGCTTTTGGGGGGCAGCTGGAGATGGCTCAGTGGTTAAGAGCACCAACTGATCTACACGAGAACCCAAGTTCAATTCTCAGCATCCACAGGGCAGTTGACTTGTAACTCGAGTTCCCAGGGATCTGATACTCAGCTTTGTTCTCTGCAGGCACTGCATGCATGATGTACACAGATACACATGCTGGCAAAACATCCATGCACATAAATAATAATTTTTTTTTTTTTTTT